AATTAGTACACAACATTAAGCCATGATTAATTATAGACATCTACAAGTGACATTCACTATTAATGCACAACATTAAGCCATGATTAGGGACAGATTTTTCTTAATAAATTTTTTTTAATGGCTTCATTGAAATTAATTTATACAATGGTACTAATTAATTCCCTTTCCTCTCCTCAGGCACTAGTGTACCAGGAATTTTTCTCTCAGGGTGACCTTGAGAAGGCTCTGGGTAAGAATCCCATGGAAATGATGGACAGAGAGAGGGCGTGCATACCTGAGTTACAGATCTCGTTCTTGGACAACATTGCTGCACCAGTATACAAGTACTGTTATTTTTTTACTGTCACATTATACACAAAAATATTTATACATAATATTCTTTGTACTCCATTTCTGATGAATGTAAGTAATTTAACGTAATCAACAAATATTTCAATTTAATTTAAATATTCAGATATACAAACTGTTTTATGTAACTAAATGTCTATTATTGGATGTTACATACAACCAATCCAGTCCATTTTTTTACATATTTCATATCACTTTTTTTTTTTTACATCTACCCAGCATCCCTTTTAAAGCACTTGTCACTTCACTTTGTGGACATACACCTTGTCACCTCACTTCTTGGACATACACCTTGTCACCTCACTTCTTGGACATACTCCTTGTCACCTCACTTCTTGGACATACACCTTGTTACTTCTTTTTCTTGGACATACACCTTGTCATTTCACTTCCTGGACATACACTTTTTCACTTCCTGGACATACATCTTGTCATTTCACTTCTTGGACATACATCTTGTCACTTAACTTCCTGGACATATACCTTGTCACCTCACTTCCTGAACATATACCTTATCATTTCATTTCTTGGACATACAGCTTGTCACCTCACTTCCTGAACATATACCTTTTCACTTCACTTCTTGGACATATACCTTGTCACCACACTTCTTGGACATACACCTTGTCACTTCACTTCTTGGATATAGGCTTTGTCACTTCTTTTTCTTGGACATACACCTTGTCACTTCACTTCCTGGACATAGGCCTTGTCACTTCTTTTTCTTGGACATACACCTTGTCATTTCACTTCTTGGACATATAACTCATCACTTCACTTCTTGGACATACGCTTGGACATACACCTTGTTACTTCTTTTTCTTGGACATACACCTTGTCATTTCACTTCTTGGACATACACCTTGTCACTTTACTTCTTGGACATATACCTTGTCACCTCACTTCCTGAACATATACCTTGTCACTTCACTTCTTGGACATATACCTTGTCACTTCACTTCTTGGACATATACCTTGTCACTTCACTTCTTGGACGTACAGCTTGTCACTTAACTTCCTGGATGTACATCTTGTCACTTAACTTCCTGGATGTACATCTTGTCACTTAACTTCCTGGATGTACATCTTGTCACTTCACTTCTTGGACATACACCTTGTCATTTCACTTCCTGGACATATACCTTGTCACTTCTTGGACATACACCTTGTCACTTCCTCCTGATTTCTGAAACTTTTTATCCAGCATGAAGTCCTTTCTTTTCTGCTTCATTTGTTCTGACCATAGCTAATGCTTAGGCTTTCATCTCATCATTCCTAGAAGATTATCTTTAGTTGCCTGGCAACTGAAGGAGGCTATAGAGTAGTCAGCAATAACATCAGATGTTCTAATCAAAAACATTTTGTTTGTTTTAATGTTGATCAGCTGGATTGACTTCGTGTATTGAATTTCTCACTAGTTTGTTAAAGGTGCTGATCTAGTCCTATGATATAATGCTTAGAATCAATGCATAGATTTAAATAATTCTCGTTAAGAATTAAGAAAACTTATACAGAGTTTGACTACCACTCTCCCCTCATAAAAGGATCTTAGGATATAATCTATGCTTAAATTACTAAACAATAAAATACTACTTCTATATAAATGATATAACATTTTTTTTTTTTTTTTGTTAAGGATTCTGGCCAGGATGTTCACTGAAGCTCAAATACCTGCCAGGAATGTGGAAGAGAATCGCAAACACTGGGTACACATTCGCCAGCTGTTAAAACTTCGTCATGGGAACTCCACGCAGGCCATGAGTGTGGAACAGATTATATCCATTGAAGAGGAAGTGGATGAGATCCCAGGTCAAGGTGATATTCACCTCAACGGACGATGAGACTGGCTTTGATTTTATTTTATTATCTGGTCTTTATTCTTTTTACATGCATTTTGATTGGTCACGGGTGGATGTACCTGAACAGTGGATACAATAAATGGGATTGGCTTCGTGAGGATGGCCAGAATGATTAGGTAGACCTGCTTGTCATTCTCCTATGCTGTTATCTAATGGATTACGTTCTCAGTTATATAGCTGCAGTTTTTTGAAATCCTAAAATGCTGACTGGGGTCTCTACAAGCCAGCTGGAACTAAAATATCTTTTCATCTAGAGTGATGTTTTTTGGTGTTCCTGGCTGGAAAATATGAAAATTTAAAACTGTTTTAATGAAATATTTTGAGACGAGTTTGTTTTAATTTATCTTAACTAGTGTTTAGCTGTACCTTGCTCACAGTTAAATAGAAGTGGAAATACACTGTCAGCTTCTTTTTTTTTTGTATTAAACAGTCAATTGATTCTCTACCCAAATTTATAGATAGGAAAAGAAAAGACAGGCAGCTGTTTCTGAAAGATTTCAAAAGCATATTTTTATTTCTCTTCCTCGAATACAAAAGTCTGTGATTCTGAAGATGATGGTCCAATCTTCTTGATGTAGATATGTGAATAGAATGATATATATATATATATATTGGTGTTGACCATTGGACATTTTTAGCTGTACTGCTACTGATATTATTTCTTCTTGTTTCATATCTTCATTCCCATACATGGACATTGGAATATTTCTCTACACATCAAGTTTGGCAATCTTATTATGACAAGTAACAATGTTTTTTTTTTTTTTTAAAAGAAATGAGTACATTGAAACGTTCAATTTTCATAACTGTGTCACTGCATTGCAAGAGGCAACTTTGAAGTTGTTTGAAAAGGAAGTCTTTGGGCTTTCATCTTTGCAGAAATCCAGATGATGTCATGGTGGAAACTTTTAAAGCTCTACGTTGTTTTTACTTTCTACGAAATCCGTTCATAAAACAAAGCACTTTGATTCGACTTGGTTTGATTCTGAGATGTGAAACTGTGTTGTTCTATCTTGTTGTCATTGAACTAGTGCACTGCTCAACACCAAGAACACAGAAAGAATTATTTCATATTGGGATTTCCAAGAGCATTGTTTGAAATCTCCGTCCCTTGAGTGAAATCTATTTTTAATGTAAGGGATTTCCATGTATGAAGTCGCTAGCTTTCATTGTTAATTGTGCTTTAAGGGCATCAACAGTAGATACATTTGATTGGTCAACCATTGTGGCTACTTTGTGCAGTAAGCTGTATTTAAATAGGTCTGCAGCTATTGTACTTACTTATGATACAGTTATTATTATTATTTTGATTTATTTATTCAATTATTATTTAATTTTTTGTTGCCTTTGCATAAATGAATAATAATTTAATTTGTTCAAAGAGTCCAGGCAGAAAGAAATGTTTTTACATTTAATATAGACCTTGATATTGCTGTGATCATCCCAGTCTGGTGACCCACACTAAATCTAGGGGATAAAACCTAGGTCTGTTCTCTCCTAGTCTCATGTCCCACACTAGTTGAAAGTCTCTGTTTCTTTCCCATTGTACAAAGGCTAGACTAGTTCTCTTCCATTCTACATGTCATATGTGTGTTAAAGATCCCTGTATCAAAGTCAGACCACTCTGGAGATGATCACCTTATGAAGATGCTGCTTTTTTTGTTGTTGCGTGCCCCTGCAACTAATCAGCAGGCACTTATCCTGACCAGGTGGTGTCCTCTTGCAGAAAATAGAAGACATTGACCTTTACCTTTTAACCCTTATTTCTTGTGATGCACCCAAACCAGTCTCTGAAACCAAGATCACATTGTCAAGTGTTACAATCAGCATCTGTTGAAGAAAGGGAAACACATGAGTCTCTACTAACACATGTTAAGGTTACAACTGTCAGCATATGATCTTATGTTTCTTTTTTTTTGTTTTTTTTTTAAAATATCCAAATTTTGCGGATTTGTTTCCTATTGTAAGATTTCTGTCTTTTTTTTTGCAAAATGTTTTCAAGTGTAAGGTCATGTGATTGTCACATTAAGATGGCCTGAGTCATAGGCCTGGGCTTACTCTGCTTGAGAGTCAAAAACAGATAGTGAAATGTTCATCTTATGCAAGCAGTAATATTCAAGTTTGGAGTCCTATGAGGCCTGTTTGGGTAGGATGGCAGTTTTTGTGTGAGAACCACTGGATGAACTCCAGAACTGGTAACAATGAAATTTGTTATTGTTTTTTTTTTTTTAAATCTTCCATCATGCAAGTCTCTGGGTTGAATGTATTGTTTCATTTAATTTATTCTATGTGTTTGACTGAATGTGTTGCTGATACATGAATGCTGTTGTGTGCTTGTGATGTGTCTCTAGTCAAATCAGAACTGTATTTCAGGTATTTATTATGTTTTGTATTCACCTCATTTGTGTTTCTTTCTGCTCATGTATAGCTTGTTTCTACTCTCAGGTCATTGTACAATAGGACACAGCAGATCTCATTAGTTTCAGTTTTCAACTTTGAATTTTTGTTTTAGTTTAGGTTGAAGGAAGATGTTCATTAATCAAATAAACTTTTAATTCCAGATAATTTAGAGTTTGAATCTACACATTTCTAGTTAATTAGAGTTTGAATCTGCATATTTCTAGTTAACTAGTGTACAAACCACACATTTCTAATTTCTAGACAATTAGAGTTCGAATTTACAGATTTTTAAATAATGAGAGTTTGAATCCACAAAATTTCTGGATAATGACAGTTTCAATCCACACATTTCTAATTAATGAGTTTAAATCCACACTTTTGTATTGGGATAGTGTTTTTTTTTTTTTTTTGTGGTCTCCTGGATTTCAGTTCAACTAGCCTGATTCTATGGACCATATTATTTTCTTCCATAGTGTGTCTGCTCCAGTTCTAAACTGATAGATGATGTAGTGGTGGATGTCTCAGCCACTGGTAATAAGTTGTATTTTGTTCAGTGTTTGACTCCTGCACATTGTAGTGTTGAATGTCACAATTTTATGATAGCTGAAAGTAGAGACTTTAGTAGTCATCAAATGATTAGAGTGACCTTTTCTTTGTAATAGCTATTTATTGAACTCTTGTTTGTTTTTTTTCTAACTGTCCTATCTTCTGGCATTATATTCATGTAAGTATTGTGTACAGTCGACTGCGATCACGGATTTGTTTGTTTGACACCTTCATCTCATTTCTCCTGTGTTTCTCTTACAAAGCAAGAAAAATTTCGATTGTTGATTTTGAAAATGTTGTTTGAAGGGAGACCTTTATTGCAGATTGAGTTTAAACATTTTGTCAAACATGCAACCTCTTGAATAATAGTTCTTAACCATTTTTGTTGTCTTCATTGATGTCATAATTAGAGCTTATAAACATAATAAGAAAACATTGGAAAGGATGAGCTGTTTTTTTCCCAAAGATTTCAAATGTCCACTACTAGTGCTTTTAGATAAATCCTTGACCCCCACCCCAAATGGATATTCCTAGATCCTGCAATATTTTCAGTGTAGATCTTAGTTGCCATGGGGGCCAAGTCTTCAGTGAACTTCTGTGACTTGACCAAGTGAACCAATCTTCCAATCCATTGTATGATGCTCCTTTGTTTTCTTCCATTCTTCCACACACTGGTTTCTTCTCTGTTGGTGTCCATACCATATGTCCTTTTATTGACCACTGGCATTGCCTGCACACCTTGCACCTTCATTGTCCTATTACACTCTGCCTCACCTCCCCTCTCCAACCTTAGTTGATACAGTTAATTTGTCCACTTGTTTTCTTTCTCCTGGATATTTTATTTTTGAACTGAATCTGTTAGCAGTTATCTACTCTGATCCAATCATATTTCAGCTTTTGGGGGGAAAGGGGACATCATTTTTCTCACTTTTGCTGAATTTTGAAACAATTGTTTTCAATTTGTTTCTTGTTACTGACAATTTGTTTTTTTGTTTTTTTTAATTCTCAATGAAGTTGTTTAGTTTTTTTTTTTGTTTGTTTTTCATTAAATTTTTTAAGAATTGGAAACAAGTTTTGTTTTGTTTATTTGCTTTTGAAGTGTTTTATTGAGTTCTACCTAACACTTTGTGATGTATTTGATTTATTGTAGTTAGTTCACATTCATCACAGAGGTCTTGGCCAGACATTACATTCTAAAGGCAGGACCAAATTTGTAATGAGAAAAAAAAAGGTTAATGAAATCTTTTTTTGTGAAATGAGGAACAGCACTAATAAGGTCACAAGCCATGAACACTCTTGATTCCACATCTTCACTTTGCTGCAAAATGTAGCACCAATCGAACAGACCATCCAGATCCCAAATAATCTTTCTTATCAGTAGCATTAGTAAGCACTCAGGGTTCAATGGTCACATGGCCAGCCCCCCCCCCCCCCACCCCCCCCCCCCACCCCCACCACCTCAAGGTACTTGCCTCCACCAACAATCCAGAGCTGACACATACATTGCCAAAATGGATCTATTTCAACTGAATGTCTCTCAATGGGACAATGTAACTACACTGCATTAGAGATATAGATGTAACTACAATACATTATAGATATAGATTTAACTACACTACATATTGATATAGAAGTTTCTGTATTTAGTGTTGGTAAAAACTAATATTTGCAGCATAAATGAATTCTAGATAGCACATCAGCAAGCACTTTAGAGTTAACACTGTGTAGTTTAGTCAGTAACCTTAACATATGCAATATAACTTAAAGTAGAACAATCTAATATTCTAAAGTACTGCACTATAAATATCAGCCAACGCACAGTTTACTTGTAGATTCTCTTGAAGAAAGATACCCAAGTTTTGAAATTACTAACATGAGATAAAGTGGGCTTAGCTAAATTGTCTGATATGTAAACAACTTAAATTGTCTGATATGTAAACTTCTTAAGAAACATAAAACGCAAGACATCAACAGGCAGTTTAAAAGTTCAAATGTTTTAATTCTAAAACTAGAGTCTGTATACAGTTTCAGTCCCTCCATACCCTGTGTGTGGTGCTTATTTACAGTATCTGTCAGCTTTCATTTTCTCTCTTCTGTCTAGCATTACCTCATGCAGATCTCCTTCACGTTTGGCTTTCTTCAAATCTTTCTTATCTGCTTCACTGACACGTAGGCGTCTGTCTTGAAAACTCTGGAATTTTTTCCTAGAGAATAATGGAGGAAAAAATAGAATCACAATCTGTGCCAAATTTTAGTATGGATTCTCTCCCCTGGTTTATGAAAAATACAATCTAGGGCAGGGGTCTCAAACTCATTTCATCATGTGGGCCACAGTGGAAAGTAACAACCATTCAGCGGGCCGCACCACAAAAAGAGAATGTTTTTTCATTACATTTTACGAACACTACTGTCACTGCAGTTAAATGCTAAAATAAAGTTTTTATAATTATTAATTACATTTAGTGTAGTTTATTTACATTCACAGGCAGTTAAGTTTACTAAAATAAGTTGACGTTGTCTCTGTCACTTATTAAAAAGCAGAAACTGTAGTTCCCCAAAAAACAACTATAATTTCTAGGCCTGCTGCAGTGATTCGTCACTCATGTTTCTGTCCACTCAGCTGAGAGCGTTTGGCAGAGTCCAGACCATCGACGTTAGGCCTGAAGTCGCATGTAGTGGCAAGCCGCAAGGTAGCTCTCAGATGCTTATCAGTCAGTCTTGGTTGTAATGCTGTTTTGTTGATCATTCTGGAAAAAAAACTGTTCGCAAACGTACGTACTCCCAAACATCGCTAGAATTCTAGCAGCTGCACAGAATAAGTTTGTAAACTTCTCTCTGGGAAGAATTTGGTAGAAATTAGGAACACCAACATCAGCATATTTTTGCTTCAGAACATTGTCACACTGCAGGTCCAGTAGTTCCATCTGGACTTCCTCTGGAACATTTTTCACTTCAACTGCGAACGGAGTGGCAACAAGGAAAAACTGTGGTTCGAGAGCAGTGAATTGCTGAAAGCGGTGTTCAAAATCTTCCAGTAGTCTGGAGAGAATGTCTATATAGTCTTTCAGGCTTGGTTCAACCGTAATGCTCTGTAGAAAAAGGCAAATGAGTCAGGTTTCCATCTGCCAGCTGAGTGGCTCACAAGTCAGCTTGCATCTGAATGATTTGATGCGGTCAAACATCACGGTAATCAGCTGCTTTGTGCCCTGTAGTTGTGAATTGAGTGCATTGAGATGTTGCGTGATGTCAGTAAGAAAAGCAAGATCTGACAAAACATTGGGTCACTGAGCTGAGGTATGTCTCTGTCTTTCATTGCCATGAACAATGCTATTTCCAGTGTTAGTTCAAAAAATCCTTGCAGCACTTTTCCAGGACTCAACCATCTGACTTTCATGTGATAAAGCAACTCTCCGTATTCCGTTTCTTAATCAGCTAGAAATGACATAAACTGTCTGTGGTTGAGACCCTGTGCACGTATGAAGTTCATGACAACATCCATCAGGTTCTTCATTTGTAGACTTTTGCCACAGAGTGCTTCTCGGTGCAGAATGCAGTGTATGGCTGCAAAAGGTCCTGCCAAGCTGAGCTGATACCGTTTCTCTACCATTAATCCAACAACACCAACCTTCTCTGAACACATTGCTGGTGCACGTCTGAAACAAGTTTTCTCCCACGGTAGCCCACACACCTGTCAATACAAGCTTCCAGTTCTTGAAACATGTCGCGTCCAGTCGTTCTTTTCATGGTAGTAAGTCCAATAGCTCTTCAACAATGTTCAAGTTTTCGTCGACCCCACGAATGAAGACTGCACAGTATGCGGTATCTGTTACACCAGTAGACTCGTTCAGTGCAATGGAATATGCTACAAAGTCTTTTGCAGCGGAAATCAGTTGCTGTTGAACATTTTCGCTGACTCTGTGATCCTGCTTGCAACTGTTTCGCAGACAAACTTATGCCTTCGAAGAGTTTTTTTTTCTTGGGGAAGATAATTTCACACGCCTGTAGCATACACCCTTTTACAAACTGGCCTTCAGTGAATGGTCGTGATGCCTTTACTATCATCTCACTAACAACAAAGCTTGCATTCACAGAATCTTCGCTTGCAGCGGGCAGACACTCATTTACTGATTTGTGCATTTGTAAATCATTTCACGGCTTATATGTGGTCATTGAAAATTTTATCTAATTTTTTAAATTAATTAATTTTTAATTCGTGGACGTGGCTGCGGGCCACACAACATTGTTTTGCAGGCCACATGTGGCCCGCGGGCGACGTGTTTGAGACCCCTGATCTAGGGAGTATATTTGAATTTTTTTTACTGTGTGCAGAACACTTCAATTATTAGTGCCCATGTTTTTCACATTGAGTCCCTACATTACAAACTCACACATAGTTGATTTCAGCCTCCTTGACAGAGCCTTGATCTTCTTTAGGGATGTCTTCAAGTGGGTCTCTTTCTCTGGCAGCGCTTGACCTAATACGCAACATTTCTTTCGGCCCTGCTGTCCTGCTTAAACAAACTATTCTACCCTCCTCGTCATAGGACAGGAAACAGTTGTTACAGCCACTAATGGCCAGTTTACCCTGCATGATAAATGAATAGATTAATTACTATTGATAAATCATACTCAATATGAGATTCTTTTCATTTTTTTTTTAAATCTAGATAATTAAGCTAGTGGGCAATGATTTGACTACATTGCAAGCAGCTGTCTTCCTCCCATAGATATTAATCTCATTTGGTCTAAAAGCTTTACAAACACATTGCAATGGACCCAATATTTGAATAACTGATATCAAATCTTGGATTGTATAATGAATTAGAAATATTGATTAAATTTTGTGGCTAGTTAAGTGTGTTGATTACTCATTTTCTTTTCTTCATGGTCAAAGGTTTTTAAAACAAAACAAATATTTTCTATCTAAAGTTGTTTTTACACATTTTGCTAAGTTCTGAGCTATCCATTAAAAAAGATGTCTAATACTCAGCTTGTGAGTCCTAAAACTATTTACTATAAAGAATTAGCTTACATCTTGAAAGACTGGTTCAAACTGTTCCCTAGAGCCCATCGCTTCTGCCACACCAACCACTTTACCATCAGCCTCTACACCCCAGTACTTGCCATAACCAGATTTGAAAGCTATCTTGGTTTCGTTGACCTTTATGGTGGTGAAGATTTCTGCTGGATCAGGAGCTTCACCTTAAAGAACAAAGTAGCTACATAAATTTCTGATGCACTATAAAGTACAGACTTTCAACTTCACAATGTTATTCATAAAATGTGTGCAGGTGTCATGAAGTATAACATATTGCCAACTACAAATAAATAAATGATACAGAAAACACAGAATAATAACTTCAACTAAAGATGACTTTGGAAATATAGCACAGTTGTCTCTCTGTTTTGTTTTTTTTTAAAGAAAAATTATGTTTTGTGCTTATAAAGTTGTTTTTTTTTAAACAAAGCTATTAGGCAGCAGTATTTTTTGGTTATGGTGAGCTGCGTAAAAATATTCCCTCATTTCAAACCTTGCTGTCCAAGGGGAAGTTGATGTAAAGCTCATCTGTTTCTATAGCTGACAGTTATAATTAAATAATATTAATTGTGTCATGTGGCCTATCTTATGTCAAATACCCATCAGAATTGGGTGGACAAAGTGACATACTGACCAATCAGTTCATAGCCAGGCACTTAACCACTCAGCCACATTATCCACGTTGTTAGCTCAAGAGGTTAATACAATTATTGTTTTTAAATGATAATAACGGTGACATAAACACTATTTTTTTAATTTTAAATATTTTACTAACCAACTTTCCTGGTTGGCCCTAAAGCCAGGCCACCATTGTCAAGGGCAGTGATGTATGTGTTGTCTTCAAATTCAATTGCCACATTGGCCGCAATGTCTGCAAACTTCTTGATTTCCCACCAGCCACCTGCATCATTTAAACACGAAATTGTGGAGTTGAAATTTTATTTTATGTACACTTCCTTATCCAAACAATGACTAACACAGTTAATTGAATATACAAAGACTGAATGCTAATGCTAACAATCTTTTTTTTTTT